TCATTGTTATTTCTCTAGTTTTAATGTTTCGTTAAAGTCGTAAAAACTGTGAGCATTGAAGCAGCTGGATGATGAGCTCATGGGATTCCTTGTGAAATTTTATAACTTCCATGGATTGATAATTATCTCAAGATAAAAAGGCACCCACACACTTTAGTCTAAAGGTAATTCAATAAAAACTCCAGTAGTGTGATTTAAGCTTACTGGTGTCCTTGTAATGGTCTCAAAAAAAAAAAAAAAAAAAAAAACCTAACTAACTAAACACTAAAAAACCCCTCTAAATCTATCCTACCAGCCATGAAGCGATGGCCCCACTCAGAGCCCAGCAATCCCCATGATCACTGAAGCACCTTTAAAAGGTAGGGGCTATTACTCCCATAATCCAGCTGAGGGAAAAGGGACATGTCTAAGCAGGACTACCTAATCTCAAAAGCCCACTCGGCCAGATGTGTTAGCACACGTTTTAATCCCAGCACTCAGGAGGCAGAGGCAGGTAGATCTCTATGAATTCTAGGCCAGCCTGGTCTACAGAGTTCCAGGACAGCCAAGGCTGTTACACAAGAGAAACTGTCTTGAAAACAACAAAAATTCATTTGCATAGCTGTTGGTATCAAGTAGTTATTTTGAATTCACAGGAACCTGTGTCTAGAAGAAAGCTTTGGCCACAGTATCTCCCTTCAAGCTCTTCACAGAAGAAAACATCAAATTATTTAACATCTTTCTTCCAACATCCCAGAATACTAAAATGTACCTTTGTTCTCCTGGCCTGGATTTGCCATCTCTTACCAAGGTTCCCCTTCACCAGTCCTGGCTCCCTAGACCCCATGTTTCCCTGTGTCTTGGTTTCTTCTGTTACTTGATAATCCCTAGGACATGTAGAATGCGTATGTGTAGAACTAGTCCTCCTCAGTCCTCATCCATGGCAAAACTATAGAAAGGACTCCAGGCTAAATGACCAATTCCTTCAGAATTTAAAAAAAAAATCAATTTGTAGGCATGTGGGGGAGGGGTGCAGGCATGGGTGTGCAATGGAGATATGTGGAGGTCATAGCACAATTTTTTGGAGGTCTGTTTTCTCCTTCCTTGTTTTTGAGGCAAAGACTGTGGTTATTTTGAGGCTGCATTTTGTGCGGTTCTGTCCCATGTGAGCTTCAAGCCAACTGTCTGCCTTCCATCTTACTGTGGGAGTGTGGGGCCTAAGATTACAGATGCCAGCTACCACATCTGGCTTTTTAAATGGGAGTTTTGGGAATCAATCTTAGGTTATTGAGTTTTGATAAGAAATGTCCCCCATAGCGTCAGCTGTTTGAATACCTGGTCCCCCAACTGACAGTGCTGTTTAGAGCCACATAGCCTTGCTGGAGAAAGTATGTCATTAGGAGTAGGCTTTAAGAGTAAAAATCCTCATCTACTTCTAATTTGCCCTCTCTGCTACATGCTCGTGGTTGAGATGAAGGCAGTCAGCTCCCATTCCTGGCATTATACCTACGATTTGCTCCCATGCCTCTTAGACAAACCCTCGGGAACCACAGCCAAGATGCCCTTCCTCTTAGAGCTGCCTTGGTGTTCATCACAGCAGCAGAAAGTGCCTACTGTATCAGGGATTCCAGGTAAGTGCTTTTCCCCACAGATCATCCTGTTAGCCCTTCCTGTGCAGTTCTGATGGCTCTGATACAATGGCATTCCACTTTAGTCCACTGGGAAGTCTGGGGTTTCCTGGAGAAGTCTTGCAGTGTTGGATCTCAGTGTGGATTTTATGTTCACTATGCTAGAAACATGACGGTTCATTTTCATCTAGAAGCCTATGTCCTTCGGATCTCAATCTATTTTTGACTTTCCCCTTCCCCAACCCTCTGTATGTTTCTCTGTGTTCTTCTGTTCTCTGTGCTGTGGTTTGGAAAGTGTCCCCAAAGGCCCATTGTTAAGGACCTGGCTGGCAGCCTGTGCAGCTACAGAGTAGTTCAATTAAGATGTGGGGCCTACTAGGAGGAAATGGGTACCAGCAGCACAGCAACACCCAATTTCAGGAGACATAGGGCTCTAGCCACACACTCCTCCCCAACTTTAGCTTCAACTTGGCATTCCACTTCAAGTCTCTGAGGTCTTTCTCTGCACTTTTCTCTCACTCTCTCATTCCACTTAACTGCCGACAACCCTTTCCTTCCTTCTCCCTTCTTCACAGCCTCTGCTCTGCTTTCATGAACACAGCACCCGTTCCTGAGGATTAAATTTTATTCTACTTTTCTTTCTTTTTTCCTCCTTTTTTGGGGGGAGGGGTAGAGACAGGGTTTTTCTGTGTCCTGGAACTAGCTCTGTAGACCAAGCTGGCCTCGTACCCACAGAGATCCACCTGCCTCTGCTTTCTGAGTGCTGGGATTAAAGGTATGCACCACCACTGCCCAGCTTTATTCTACTTTCCAATGGTTTCTGTGTCCTTGGATTCTATTAGACTTTATTTTCCTCAACAATGTGGTCACTTTAGGCGGCTGCCTGGAGACCAGTGTTTCAGAAGGCGGTAGGAAGGGGAAAGCTGCATCATCTGGTAACCAGGGAAGAGTGAGCTGTCAGATGTGTTGGAAATGTGATGAGCTGTTTTCCTTAGCTACAAAACTCCGGCATTCAGTATGTAGAGGACTCTGTTCTTGAACTGGTCACTTTCTTCAGAACAGAAGGCTCCAGTCCCAGGCCTTGGGTTCTAAGTCTAGCTGTCAGTGTTCTAGAGACTGGACAGTTCTAAGAGATTATGTTCCCTTTTAGAACAAGGTACTAGAAGGCTGGAGCAAAGCTCAGGGGTATATATAGGGCTTACCTAGCACACATGAGCCCCATGTCCTATCTCCAGTCCCTCTGCTGTTTCAGAGGCTGTGGCTGGAGGCTTAATGAGCACAGACAAGGCATTCCCAACCCACATTCCTTCCCTTTGGTCTCACCTGCAGCATGTGGCTGTGGAAGTGGAGAAAGTCTAAGAAACTATGAAAGAATGTTATCAAAGAAGACGAACTAGCAACTGCTGGGAATCACACCTCTTGATAAGCATACATTCTCCACTGCCAGAGCTCCACACTGCCTCAGACCTGTTCTCATGCCCACACATCTAGAAACCCTCCAGGCTCCTAACATATGGGACATAAAAGAAAAGTGAGGTGTAATGCTTCTCCCACAGACTGTCAGCCTGCCCAGGTTTAGTCCCGTCCATATTTATCCTCTCAAAAGCACCTGGAATCTCTGATTTCCTAGCTTATTTCCAGTTGAGAGAGGTGTCAGCTTCTAGTTGTCACCCTTTATAGGAACTTAAGTTTTCCCAGTCTGTTCTGCCTGCTACTACACCTCCAGCAGTTTTGAGCAGCAAGTGTTGCAAGAGTCCCTGCATGCCTGCTGCCCTGGTCCTTGTTCCTCTCAGTTTACTCCTGCAATGTCTCTACCATCGCTTTGGACGCACTTGGGCGGAATACAGAGAAAAACATTTATCTTCCAAATGTCCTATCTTGCTGAAAGCTCCAACCTTCAGATTTTACAAAGATTTGGCTAAATGAGAAATAAACAGCATGGGGCAAGAGTAAAAAATAGGGAAAAGTAAAGGCCTTTTGGTTGCTAAGGTTTTACAGCCTGCTTGTGCTTGTGAAAGTTTCTTTTTATAAACTTATGTGCATGAGTGTTTTGCCTACATGTGTGTCTGTGTACCATGTGTGTGCTCTCAGAGGCCAGAAGGTATCAGAACCTCTGATCTGAAGTTTTAGATAGCTGAGAGCCCCAGCTGGAATGCTGGGAATTGAACCCAAGTCCTCAGGAAGAGCAGCCAGTAATCTTAACCACTGAGCCGTATCTCCAGCTTCTAGCTTAAGGTTCTTTAGTCTACTCCTGTAAAGTATCAACTGCTTAACCTTTGTGTACGTGGTGGTGTGCATGCAGAGGTTGGACGTCTGTATCATGTCTAAGTCAATTGCTCTCTACCTTGATTTTTTTTGAAACTGGGTCTATCATTGAACCTGGAGCTCAACAATTAGGTTAGAAGCCAACAAGCGCCAGGGACCCACTTATCTTCACCTCACACCCCCTCAGTCCCCCTAACAATGAGATTACAGTAAACTCTGCTTTTACCTGGGCTCAGATTTTTTTTTTAAATGATTATTTATTTTTGTGTGCATTGGTGTTTTGCTTACTTGTATGTCTGTGTAAAGGTGTCAGATCCCCTGGAACTGGAGTTACAGACCACTGTGAGCTGCCATGTGGGTGCTGGTAACTGCACTCAGGTCCTCTGGAAGAGCAGCCAGTGCTCTTAACTGCTGAGCCATCTCTCCAGTTCCCGTGAACTCGGATGCTTATGCTTTTTTGGCAAACACTTTACCTACTAAGTCATCTCCCAATCCCGCTTAGCATCTTGGAACTTTCTTACATGTAAGATGTTGATGCTAAGACCTACCTTGCAGGGTCACAAGAAGAAAAAGCAGAGCAAAGCAAGCAGTCTTGTGTGATGCACACATAGCAGCTACGGTATCATAGCTAAAAATCACCATCATTTAGTAACCTTTTGCTGTGACAGTGTAACAGTTTCTCCTGCATTTGTGGCAAAGTACAGCATAGTGACATATAGTATATAATGCTTGATAATCAACTACTATGCTACTGGTTTATACAGCGCTATGATAATTTTAGAATGTATTCTTCCCACCTCAAGAAAATGTTTGTTTCAAGTAAGCAGTATGCCTGTATATCCAGCCAACTTTGTAACACCTTGTGCTGACTATCTCTTGATTACACCAAGAGGCCACACCAAGTGACTGACCCTCGCCATTTATGTGTGAGTACATGTTGTCCTTGAACACGTCCTCATGTTATCTGACATGATTGTGCTTCAAAATAGGGCTGGGTGCTCCCAGCACGCACAACACTCTGGGTTCAGAGGTTTAGCCCCCAGTACCAAAAAAGGAATGAATGAAAGAACGAGGAAGGGCCTGGTGTAGGAGAAAGACTAAAGGAAGATGCCTTTATAGAGGAGTCTGCTAGAATGCAGGGCTGCTATGGTTCAGTGAACATGTCTCAGGTCCTAGACGAAGGTACTGAGCACTAAAGGACTGAATAAGGAGTGAAACCTTCACACTCCGAGGCAGAAGGTCACCAAAGTAGAGAACAGCAGGGAAACCCAGGTAGAAACAGGCTCTGTTCTTACCTTTCTTGGTCTTACAGGGACCACACTCAGGGTGAATCTCCTGCAAGGGAAGGGACACCACCTTGGCTAGCCCAGCATTTAACATGTACTGGTACAGACGCTTGAATGTCCTTTCACACAGCCCCTGCAAAACACAAGCCCATGGGCACTGTTAAGCAAGACACTTGAGAATCCCAGCATCGAGGAAACACCAGTGTTCGGGATGGGAGTTACCAAGGGACAGTAAATGAAGAACAACTGCAGGTACTAACGAGACTGCCAAGCTGCATTCAGGGAACCGAACAAACTCTGGAGCAGCACAGAAACCACCCTGCTGTGGATACAAGAGGGCAAAGAGATGTACATAAGAGACCCTGGACAGGTAGACAGGGAGGGGGTGAGACAAGTGGGGGCAGCGCTAAGAGAAGGATTCCCACCAGACACTTTCCATACTGTATCTTTTAAATCTAAGTGTGCATATGAATTTTTCTTTTCTCTCTCTCTCTTTCTTTTTTCTTTTCTTTTTGGTTTTTTTGAGACAGAGTTTCATTGTAGCTTTAGAACCTTCCTGGAACTAGCTCTTGTAGACCACCAGGCTGGCCTCGAACTCACAGAGATCCACCTGCCTCTGCCTCCCGAGTGCTGGGATTAAAAGCGCACGCCACCATGTGGCATGTGCATGAATTATTAATAAAAAGCCTTCTCCAAGGCAGTGGAGCAAAAAGAAAACAAAATTTTAAAGTTATCTAAGGAGCCAAAGAGATGGTCCAGTGGGCGAAGTACTTGCTAGCAAGACCAAGGACTTGAGTTCCATTCCCAGGACCCACATGGTAACTGGGAGAACCAGCTCCAGCAAGTTGTCATTTGACAGTCTCTCAGGCACCAGCCAGGGAGAGGTAACCAAACACTGCTGGAGTCATCAGAGCACGTGGTCCGGTCCCCAAGGTGCCGTAGGCCTACACTCCCTGGCAGAACCTGACACAGCACAGCTGAAAGTCAGCTGCTGTCTGCTGTCTGTTACATATGTGCCACATTTCTCTAATGGCTCACAACCAGTTTTAAAAAATCCATACTGGGTAAAATGTCCTGCCTCCAGCCAATCTACTCCTGGCCCTTGCTGCCACCTAGCTGTATAAACCCTGGACAAGCAAGGTATGAACTGGTTGAGAAGGTGCTCATGACTCAGGCCTACTCTGAGTCTTAGGGACTGCTTCATTCACTGGAGTAGACAGCAAATGCCTATGGGCCTGGCACACATCTGCAGCCCACTCAAAGGAACCAGCACTTTCACTGTTGGGCTATACAACATATGGTTACCCAAGATATCCAGATGAATCCTGTCTGGCTCCTTCAAACGCGCTGGCTTGTACATGGTGCCTGTCATTAATCTAGCTGAGCCTCCCAATGATGAAGAGCCTTTGGAAATTCATCCATCAAAACGCAAGCCAAGAACATGGTGTTGAGCTCTGGACCATCCAGAATGAGGGAAGATAATGTGGTCCTTCCTTCAGGGGACCTGCACATTCTGCCCAGCAGAAAGATCAGCAGGAGCCCTGCCAAGGGCAGCACCCACCTCAGCTACAGGCCAATTTAGTTGGCTCTCCTTGGACTCTACTGCCAGGGGCAGACTGGACATCTCCAGAGAACACAGAAAGCCTTCGTGTTCAATAAATCTCAGGCTCAGGTTCACAGAATGCCGCCCCTCCCCCTACTGTTCCTTTTTCCGACACTGCCCTTAGCACAGAACACACAGCAGCCCAGCATGAGCCCACGACCTCACCTTCTCACCAGCAGCACATCCAGACTGTCACATCCCAGTCTGCCTGAGTGTTGGCCATTCAAACCAAAAGTCTGAGTTGCATCTTCAAACCTTGTATCAGTTTTCTTACATCCTAACTAGGCTACCGCTCACCACTGTGTCACCTAGCCTGATGGCCAGGATCCAGGCCTCCTTCTCTCAGAGCCTCATGCTCCCCGTTTCCTTCTTCCTGGGCTTCTCCATGCAGCCACTGACACAGAAATTTCCTGAGGTTGGAGCTTCCAGACTCCAGTCTAAGCCAGGCTCTCAAGAACTCCGCCATCTTCCCTCACCTCCAGCCATCACTATGCAATCTCTGCTGGGGAAAGTCTTGCCCCACTGTGAACTGCTCTGTGAAGCAGCCCCAGCTGTCTAGGACCACACCTCCCACTTTGCTTTCACCTACTAGTCCCCCCTCCCCCCCAATTACACGGTCTTATGACAGTACCACCTGCCATCATCACCTACTTCTGCAACTGTGGAGTTTGACCCAGCTCTGCCTAAAAACACTCGCTGAACCACGTGCTCAGAGATAACCATGTTCCGGAGCAGTGAGGCCACAGTGCTGACTGGAGCAAGATTAGCCCACTTCCTGTCCTGAGGGAGGCGTACAGCAGTATCCCAGTCCCTAGTGAATACACAGGATCAGGGAACATCAGAGCAAACACTGGCTTTCTTCAGCCTGTAGCAATTTTCCTCACTTCTATTTAAGTCTCCTGAAAGGTTTTTTTGTTCAACCTTCCCTTGATTTCCCATTTTTTGATCAACTGAGACAGAGAAATTACACTCTGATCCCAAACTACAGGGCATCTGGGATGGCAAAGGCATTGGTTCTCAATATACGGGAGGTAACAGGGAGTAGAGGAACTTGGCGGAGCTGGTAGTTGCAGATGGTTGCCATCGTGAGAACCTACGGGGCAAGGCTTGCCTGAGCTTTCAAACTTAAATTTCTATCTGAAATCTCAAGGTGAACAAACAAGGAAGCCAGGCCACTTTGAGGCCCCTCTGAGGAGACGGGAATGCACTGGATCCATGATGGGAAGAGGCCTTCTCCCGGAAACCATGAAATCCAAGTCTAGCAGAGCACAGGGAGACGCCTGTCTACTGTCCTCATGTATGTGATCAGAGAGCCCACTGAGTCCCCCTTTGGGGACTAATTACTGCACATTCTGATGTGCAGCTTCCAGCCCTGTGGTTTAGCCTCCAGGCAGTCTCTTCTAATGCCTAATACTGGCTCTTGACTAAGTTCCACTCAGAACCATCCCTTGGCCGTCAGGCAGCAATGCCACTGAGTCTCCTCTCACGCTTACCCCTTCACAGCTGCTACTCCTGAGCCTAAGACACAGAAGGTCAGTAATTGCTTTTTTCTTCCTGTTACTTCAGCATAAAACCACTGGGAGTAAAATTACAAGTTTCACGATGAAAGAAAATCTAAATGTCAAAATTTACCATCCCACATGAACTCTGATGGTGGGTCTGAGAGCAAACCCCAGAGGAAATGAAGTCAGTCAAGGGTAAGAATTTCAAAGAAAAGCAACATTTTCTCACTGTGCAAAAGAAAGGAAAAGGCCAGGGTTGGGGATATAGCCCTGGTAAAACGCTTAGCAAGTTTTAATGTTCGAGTCCCAGCACTGCAAAAAATAAAAAAGAAAGGAAAAGGCCATTTGAAGGGCTCTGGGAGGGGCAGCAAGTCTTCAGCGCACCCCCTTTCAAAGCTCCCCAGGTGGTATGCAGCTTGCAGGCCCACCTCAAGGGCTTACCAGTTCCTCCCTCAGCTTGCCCAGAGTTTCAATCTGGTTGCTTCGTGTGCTCAGCATCATGGACAGCTTCTCCATGAGGATGTCATACTTGCTCCTCCTGAAAGAGATACCAGCCAGTCACCTGCTGGTCACTCAAGACCAGCTGACCTTTAGAGACGACAGCTCATGTCCAAAGCTATAGTGACAGTGTACAGACTAGATCCCAGGGCAGAAACATCAGTCCAATGATTCTCTAAACCTCCTTACCTTTGAATAGCACTTTAAAGGTTATGGGGGCCTCTCAAGTTCTGCCTCATGTGCCACTTGAAGAGGAGTGGGGGTTATTTCATGATGAAGGTTTCTCCAAAACCCAGGCCCAAGGCTAGAAGCATCTTTGCATTTATGTTGCACCCCCTTCACTCCATCAAGCCCTCTCCTGTCTCTACTTCTGGCTCCCCTGGTGTGACTGACCCACTGCCCACCTCCCTGTAATATGAAGTTGATGTGTCATGATAAATGTTTCCAAGGTAACAGCATCCAAGGAAGCTGATGCTCATGGAGCCTATGTCTGGGGAAGGGAGGGAGGAGAATAAAGCAGAATCGTTCTGCCAGTTCAGCTAGCCATGGGCAGCTTGGCTTGACTCCTTGTTTGAGGGGAAGAGAAAGCACATGCACGCATCCTCGGTGAGGGAAAGAACAGGACATGGGCACTGCACTTGGCTCTGGCACAAGGGAAGCAATGTCATGACCACTTTACACAAGGGGAAATAACAGGTCAGAGGCACAGGGACTCTGTCCCAACTAAAACGAAGACACTGACTTACCCTGAGCGCTTTCCCTAGCCCCCAGCTGTTACCCTGTGCAACCCTTCTGCTATCATCAGAGGTTGCTGGTAAACCACTTGCTTGAGTGGGCTTTGTTGCTATTTTGTTTTTTGAGACAGTCTCACTCTGTATCCCAAGCTGACCTCAAATTCAGGATCTCCATGCCTCAGCCTCCCAGGTGCTGGGATGACAGCTGTAGGCCTCCATGAGAGGCCAGTCACAAGTTTGACAATATAGTTACTTAACTAATGGATAGTGTGAACCATTAAAATGTAAAAAAAAAAAAATTTTTTTTCCAAAACAGTATTTTTAAAACACAGGCTGAGAGATGGCAGAGTTGGCAGTAATGGAAGATGAATTAGGACTTGTGACATTTTGATGTACAGGTGTGAAGAGCACTCAGAATCACACAATGTCTGACAAGAGTACCAACGGCTTTTACTGGACACCTAGTCAACAGTCTGCATCTGAGTATCCACCTGAGGCAAGTCATAGGCACTGTGACGGGCATTAAAAATTAAAGTCATACTTACCCCGAATGCTTACTCACCAGCCTGTTTGAAGGGGCACCTGGCTAAAGTGAGTAAAGGGCGGAGACTCTGACAATTGGCTAGTGGCCTTTTGGTACTGCCGATCTCCACCATGGAGTTTGGTGACCAAACCTGAGTTTTTGGAGTGTATACAATTCAGGGCTGCTTTTCTAGATCCTGTACCTGCTTGTCTATTACCCACCCTGGCTTCTGTTCCTCCTACAGAGATGGTCGTGGTGGACTAGGCAAATGGCACAATTCTTGCTTCTGCGCCCTTTTCCAGGGTAATTACTCACTCAAAAAGAAAACACTTGTTCACTCCCAGCTTGCTTTCCAGCGGGACTGTATTACGCAGCTAAAATGGCACCTTCCCACATTGTGACCATCTGGATGAACCTCAATGTATCATCACACAATGATTATTAGGATGTATGACTGAAACACATTCAATCTGAGATCAACATAATTCAACAACTTTTCTACTGCATTCAATCAAACTTCAAATATTTTCTTCCGCATGCTTCAACAAAATGTTAATTAATAGTACTATTGTTGGATTGCATTTTCCCCCTTTCTTTCTGTATTCAGAAACCCTCAGTCAGGTTTTCTAAATGAGCAAGACATACTTTCACCAGAAACAAACATAAAATATCTTTCTGGAAAGTTTAGCTTTTGATTTTTTTTTTTTTTTTTTTTTTTTTAATTTTTAAGAACCTTAAAAACACAACACAAGTAGTTACAACATACAACCAAATATTTTGTTTTCTACAAACCACACCTGTCCACATGAAAGCGGTTCAGGAGCAGGAGGATGGAGTGTTGCTGGGCTCCAGTAGGCAATCGGATCACATGTGACTGCATTGTAATCAGCCCATTCTTGTTGAGGATTTTCCTGTGATAATGAAGCTTCCCAGCGTCGACCCTGCAAAAGGAAGTGTGTCATCCAGTTTGTTTTATGGTAGCTTTACCCTCACAATGTAGTTTCTCACATGCACATAAGTACCCACCCTCCCCCCACTATCTAGCCTGATAGCCTAAAAAAAGTCAGAAGAGGCAATGGTCTGGAACCCATGCCTTGGGGAAGACATGACAGCAGGCCCTTGCATTTGGGGTACATACACAGGCCTTGTAATTTAAAGCAGAGGCACTAGCTTGGCTCTTACTTGAAAGCCGTGGTGTGGAGGTCTCTCTGAAGCTCCCCTTGCCACCTGGACCGGCCTAACCGCTCCAAAATGCAGTAGGAGAAATCAGGAAGCTTCAGGTCAGGATCCCCCTCCAGGCCTATCAAGGCCCTGTAGCGCATGTCCTGGGAAGCCACAATGATGAGCTTCTTACCCCACCTGCAAGTTGCAATCACATGTAAGGAAACCAAAGCACAAGAAAGCAGGGCCTTCTGTCATTTCTGCTTCCTCTGAGACATTCACAGTACCCCAGGTTTGCCTCACACCTTCAGAGTCAGAGCTGCTGTGGGCTGGACTGATCGGCTGCCAAGACACATTCACAATCTCACCATCACAGCACCCTGACTGAAGAGTCTGCCTGCTTCCCCCAGAAGCCACCTTCTTGACACAGCCCCAAAGTTACTGCCTAGCTGTGGTTCTTATGGACCTTTAGATAATTCCTGATCTCACTGCTAATAACACAGTTCAGCTATCAACTCCTTAGGCCTTCCAGAAAATGTAACCCCACCCCAACCATGGCCAGATTCCTCAGGGTACTCAGTACTCTTGGCAGCAGCCTCTGTAACACTGTCTCCTTTATTTAGTTCTGTCATTGCAGGCAGTGTGCTCACCTCCTGTGAACACAGCAGCAGGAGCAAACTAGGACAAAGTGGTACCCAAACAGGGCGCTGCTGTGATGGGCCCGACCACGTGGCTTCTATGTCCCAGGCCATTTTGAGGGAGAAAAGTGGAGGATTTGGGCCTTTGGGCAGAAAAGCCACTGAATATTGAGTTTAATGGGCTGTTGTGGAACCTGGAAGACAATGCTAACAGCACTTCAGACACAGAAGCCCGGCCTGTGAAATTCAGAGGGAAGCAAAGACTACTGGAGCCATTCCTGTGATATTCTGGATTAGGAATCCATGGAAGTCAAATGTTTGATTTACTGGGACAACAGATGCTGGCTAACTGAGGCTAAGAAATCAGCTGTGCTTTATAAGTAAAAGCGAAACATCACTCAAGCAAAGGGGAGTTTTCTTCAGAGCAAATACACAGAAGTGGTTCAGAGGGAACCAAGGCTGCATCCCAAGCTGGAAGCTGAACCACAACGTGTAAGTCCCACATTGCACTGGTTTTGAAGGCATGATGGGTGGAGAGCAGTGTGACTCTGCGCTGTGATAAGATCAGAGGTCACTGCTAAAGTTGTAGTCTCAGCTGCACAGCAGAGCCCAGGACTCAGAGGTCACAGTCATAAGTTGTCACTACATGACATGGTGGGAATCTCTGAAAGGAAGGAGACCACTGGTGAAGGGACAGTCTTAACTACAATGGATAACCCTCCATACTGAAGACACCGAGACTGTGGGACAACCACCAAGGACAAAGGTAGGTGTGGAGTGTGGCTGGTCTGGATCTCTAAGTTAGATGTGCTGCAGACAATAGTCCTAGACCTTGGGTCATGAGCAGCAGCCAAGAGCTTTGTATTTTGCTTTGATGCGCTAGTAACTATGCCTTAGTTCTTCCCTTTTGAAATAAGAAAGAATGTAACTATTTTGGATGCTACAGAATCACAGTTAAAGACTTTGAATTTTTTTTTTTTTTTTGATTTTCGAGACAGGGTTTCTCTGTAGCTTTTGGTTCCTGTCCTGGAACTAGCTCTTGTAGACCAGGCTGGCCTCGAACTCAGAGATCTGCCTGCCTCTGCCTCCAGAGTGCTGGGATTAAAGGCGTGCCCCACCACTGCCCGGCAAGACTTTGAATTTTTAAAAGAGAGCTTAGATTGCTAATTACTAAAATTTTTAACTTCCTTTTTATTTATTCTTTGTATCATTCACATCACGTCTCCTGAACACACCCATCTCTCTCTTCCCCATCCCAGAACAAATTAAAATTTAAACGAAAAGAGGAAATAAAAAGGGAGAAAGGGAAATCTTATCATGGAAGCTGCAGTGTGATAGTGAGCCACACAGAAAACCTTAATCCATACATTTTTACATGCAGGCATTCATCGCAAAGGATCACTGGTCTGGTTCAAGGTTCCTAGTCTCTGCTACACCATCAACACTGGGCCCTCACTGGGACTCTTCCGGCACATCCTGTGCTGTAGAGATTCTGAAGCCCTGTCCGTGTTCCAGTGGATCACAGACAGGGTGGGCCAACACATAACCGTGGTTCTGGGCCTGGGTAGTTTGCAGGGTTGGTCAGTCCATCAGCTTTCTCCCATCTTCATCACCAGGGTGAGCTCTCCAGCACGCCCTGTCTAGTTCACCCTTTGCAGCATGAGCAAGGGGCAGGGCCAGCTGGCTGCTTCCACATCCTCTGGTTGGTTCTCCCATATTCACCTTCAGGACCAGCTCTACTGAGGTGCAGGGGCCACTCTGCTGAGTGTGGCAGGTGACGAGGAGCAGGACCAGGTCTCCCGCTCTTATAAACTCAGGGACAGCTCTTCCACCTGCCTCAGGTATTGAATCACTGGAGTTTTTACAGGATGTTAGGGCTTTTGAAAGGAATGATCATGGCTATAGTGATATAGTTACACATTAAGTCGAAAGGGGGTCATCTGGAAAGAGAGACCTCAACCGAGGAATTGCCTTGTTCTTATCATTAGACTAGCCTGTGGGTATGTCTATGGGACATCTTCTTGATTAATGAAGATACCATGGGGCCCAGACTACTCTGAGCAGCCCTGGCCAGGCGGTTCTGGTTATATAAGAAAGCAAATTGATTTGCAAAAGACCTAGGATTGGTTCTCAACAACCATGCAGGGGCTCACAACCATCTGAAACTCAAGTTCCAGGGGATCTGATCTGCCTTCTTCTGACCTCTGTAAGCACCAACCACATATGCAGTGTACACACATACAGGCAAAATAATCAAAAGAAAGCAAACTGAGCAAACCACTGAGAGCAAGCCTTGCAGTATTCTTCCATGGTTTCTGCCTGAGTTCCTGCCTCCAGGTTCTTATCTTGGTTTCCATGAATGATAGACTGTGATTGGACATGCAAGCCAAATAAATCCTTTCTCCATAAATTTCTTCCCAAAGACCATGGTTACAGTGGTATTTTATTTGTGTTTTAATAAATAAAGCTTGCCTGAAGGTTAGTGCAAAGCAGCCACACTAGTCAGTCATAGAGGCCAGGCAACCGTGGTACACCTCTAATCCCAGTACTAGAGAGGAATACAAGTGGGGAGGGCACAGGAACTCGCTCTCTTTCAGCCTTAAGATTTCAAAGAGGTAAGAGCTCTCTAGTGGCTTGGCTGCTTTTGCTTTCCTTTTTTTTTTTTTTTTTTTTTTTTTTTTTCCTTTTTTGGTTTTTGAGATAGCATTTCTCTAAAGCTTTTTTTGGAGCCTGTCCTGGAACTAGCTCTTCGAGGCTTGCCTTGAACTCACAGAGATCAGCCTACCTCTGCCTCCCAAGTGCTGGGATTAAAGGCGTGCCCAACCAATGCCTGGCTGCTTCTGCTTTTCTGATCTTCAGGTTGAACCCCAATATCTGTCTCTGGGTTTTTATTATTCATGCTACATATGGTATTTCTCCCAACAACAGAGAAATTAAGTAGAATACCTGGGACTCTTAATTTTTTTTAAAAAAAGATTTACTTAATTTATGTATATGATATTTTGTCTGCATGTACATTTGCACACCAAAAGAGGGCATCAATCCCATAGGACTATAGTTTTGTTTTTTAAATATTTATTTATTATGTATATAATATTCTGTCTGTGTGTATGTCTGCTGACCAGAAGAGGGCACCATACATCATTACACATGGTTGTGAGCCACCATGTGATTGCTGGGAATTGAACTCTGGACCTTTGAAAGAGCAGGCAATGCTCTTAACCACTGAGCCATCTCTCCAGCCCCAGGACTACAGTTTTAGCTGGTTGTGAGCCACCATATAAGTGCTTTGAATTTGACTCAGGACCTCTGGAAGGGCCTGAGGACTGCTGAGCCATCTCTTCAGTCCCCAACACTCAACTCTTAAAACAATGTGTGCGGAGTAAGGCTGTAAATGAACTACCTTGTAAGCAATACTAATAAAGCCTCAGGGTTGAGATCACCATGTGGTCAATGAAGCAGGGATCTGAGTTTTGACTCTGCTACTGAAAACCATTAGAACTTCCCACTACTGAATGTGTTATAAACAATAATGTCCCAAGGAGATCCGAAGGCTTTCTAAGAGCAAGGCTCTTTAAGACGTCCCAGGTAGAGTACTGTGGGGGCTGGAGAAAACAGCTCAATGGTTAAAAGCTCTTTCTGCTCTCACAGAAGACCTATGTTTTGAGTTCCCAGACCCAACCTGTAACTCCAGAGAGTCTGATGCCCCCTTCTGTCCTCCTCCATGTTTCTTGCTGGGGTCTCTGGATCCATAGTGTGTGATGTTTAGCTTTCAGTTTCAAGTATCAATTTGACAGGGTTAATTAGTCCCCAGTACACTTCTGAAGCACCTGAGTATACCCGCGAGTATTTTTCTAGGGGATTAGCCGAAGGGGGAGACTTCCATGAACAATGTGGGCTGCGCCATCCCCAGGTTAGTGTCCTGAACAAAAGGGAAACAAGAAGAAAGCCAGCTGAGCACCGGCATCCATCTGTTTCATGATCTGTCAAGATGTGCACAGACAGCTTCATGATCCTGCCATGCCTCCCTGAACATGAGGAACTAACGGCACCCTCCTCAACCATGACAAAATAAATCCTTCCTAAGTTGTTTTCCACCAGGTCCTGTCACAGCAGTGAAAAGCACCTGACACACCCTGTATCACCACACTAAGTCTAGACATCACTGCGGCCTTGATAACACTGCAGACTGAGCTGCTCCACTTGCCCTCTGGCCCAGCTCCAGGGAGACCCAGCCTCACTCACAGTTTGGCTCCAAGTGGCTGAGCTGGAGGACTGCCCTCTCCCAGTTTTACAGAAAGCACAGCTACCCATCATGCCTTTCCTCAAGAGCCACTTTGGCTCTTTTCTGTTCTGCTGTTTACTAACAGCTGGTCCTTGAGGTCTCAGCAGCCCAAGTACTCTGCTCAGCCACACAGTTTTCCGTGCTCCTGCAGCTGCCAGATGATTTCACTTCTCCACGTCAATAACAAAAAAAGAGGTTGTCTATACAGTCCATGCTTAAAGACTAAGATGCAAGCCATTTTTTCCCTCAAAACAGGCTCATTAAGACAAACTACAAGAGGCCAGCTAGGTAAAAGACTGGAAACTGAAAAACAGACTTGCTGCTTATTCAATCTTGTTCAATTTCCACCCACATTATCATCAGGCCAAAAGCTGTGTTAAGGACGGACTGTCATACCACCTGGACGTGTCAGATCTCATCTGCATTAAGAACTGCCCAGCGGGCGGTGGTGGCACACACCTTTAATCCCAGAGGCAGGCAGGTCTCTGTAAGTTCAAGGCCAGCCTGGTCTACAAGAGCTAGTTCCAGGACAGGCTCCAAAACTACAAAAGAAATCCTGTCTCGAAAAAGAACTGCCCAGCTGATGGTCACTGTATTCTTGCTACTACACATCTGTGGATTGTGACACCACTTTGGTATCTGATACCAAGATTAAACAAAACAAAACAAAACCTACCTTCAAAGAGCTCATAGGGAAAAGCCAGAAACTGAATGGCCACACCAGAGGCTCACTCTAGAGCTTCTGAAAGGCTTCTGTGCGGTCAGCAGCGAGTGCACATCAAGTCTCAGAACCCTCTGGAGCCAGCAGGGAGGGGGGAGAGAGAAGGGCAGAAGACCCTGCCCAGTGACAGGGCAGGCTTGCTATGGAAGGCCAGGGGTGGCATGGATGGAGTGTGGTACGTGCCAGCAACTAGACAGCTAAGGAAAGTTCACAAGGTCAGCATGGCTGAAAACTCCAACAGGATGGCACAACTTCAAACCCAACAGCCCGCACTGCATTGACAAGTACAAATGTGCCAAGCACACGTAAGACTTGAGAGGGTCAGTGTTGGGCACAGTGAAAAGGCTCTGCCATTGTCAAGCTAACAGTCTCCTGGTAGGGAAGAATGCTGCCAATCAAAACCTAAAGTGACTTTGGCCCAATTCAATGGTTTTGCTAGCTCTAAATGTGACCTTCCCACACATGGTCACATTTTGGAGACCCAAATGCACTCAACTGTTCACTGTGTCACTCTTTCCTCGCTAGACCAGAGTAATCTGGTGGTGCCTGGGCAACAAGACACTTGGTGAGAGGTGCAGCTGAAGCTGGGATGGGGTGCTGGTCCGAGGGCAGCACACCCCTTCCTTTTCAGAAACAAGAGGGCGGGGCAGGTTCCCCGTGAAGCACAGGGAAATCAGCACCTTGAGGGTGGCTAGGTGAGAGCGGGACAAGGTCACAAGGGCCTCTGGGCCCCAGTAAACAGGTAGCAAGTAAGAACGTGACTACTGGTGTGGCAAGTGAGTGGCTGGTACCCAGCTTATCTGAAGGGGACTGTGGCCTATGCTACCTTATAAAAATCAGACTTTCATATGGCTAAACCTTGTGGGCTCCCGGAAATCCATGTTTCTAGACATTAGAGATAAGTAATCTCTAAAATAAATACAACCTCAATCTGGGCAAACAAATCTGTGGATGATGTGGTCAGTTCCAAACCCTGGCCCCGATCAAGGGGAAGACCATCTACCACATTTTCATTCTAGGAAAAACTTCCCATAGGTATAGAAGGTGGAGGAGAGACTGAACCAATGTGGTGAGACTTCCTGATTACTGGAGACAAATTTAGAAAGGTAGGGCAGTAGGACAGGACCGACAACTGAGTGTAGACGTCACAGTGAGAAGGAGCCTAGGCTCGAGAGCACGCCTCTGACCAGGACAGAGACAAGCAAGGGACACACAACTGTGAAGGAAACAACCACAGAGCACGAGGGGCTCCTTACTGAAACACTATCACACGTGAGACGTGGAGCAGCCAATACCTGACAGGGTAGGAGGAGCAGGGGATCCACCAAAAGCTGGTGAAGATTCAGTGGGGAAACAACAGAATGCAGGGAGTCCAGTGGCCAAAGCTTCTAGAACCGTCAGTGGTCCGCCTCAGGGGATAAGGACTTGCTGGTTAGGACCTAAGGAGTGATAGTGTCAGATCTGTAGGGAGCAGAGAGTGAGAGGGAGGGGAAGACCCAGAGAACCCTGGGTCTCTTCCAAGAAGCTTGTTCTAAGACAAACACCATGGGGTCAGGAAAAGAGGTAGTTATCAGGTGGGCGAGCCTGTCAGTGTGCTCAGGAAAAAGCTCCACAATGTGAGCAAAGTGGGAGGGCTGGGCTTATGGGAGGGGAAGGAGAAAGATGTGTCCAGATCACAGCTTTGGACACTGTAACCTTATGGCCTCATATAACAAGGGGAGGGTGGTGTGCAAGATCCCAGAGCTCATAAGGGCAGTTTCTCCTTGACCTGGAAGATAGGAAGGAGGTGGCCCGTGGTCTGGACTGGCCAGCTGTGGAAGAACAGGATAGGGACTGGGAACTCACAAAGGGAAGGTGGGGTGTGCAGTGCAGCGTTAGGACAAGAGCAAAAAGTGCTAGGCGCACTGGCTACCACCAGCTCCAACTGTTCTAGGTCTCTGGACACAAAGGATAGAAGTCAGGACCACTGAACTCAGAAGGCAGGTCTCAGGGGTGGATGAAGGTCGAGGCTAGGGAATTCTGGCAAACACTAAGGAGAGACACCAGATGCTACATCTGATTTCAGAGACTGCTGAGGAATGTAAGCCAATTACCTGCTGAAGGCTTCCACCATTGTACAACGAGGCTGCAGACACTTGGTCCTGATGTTACTGGTAATGTCTTTCCTCTCTTTAAAGTATCGGCAGGAGCCCTGGATGCCATCCTTATTCTCTAAGATCATGTGAATGGGGTAGACATCCTCCAAAGTGACTGGGTCCCTCCTGGACTCCAGAATTCCAGTTTCCAAGTCAATTTCTTCATATCTAGGGAGGAAAACACATACTCCAACTCAGTTTCAGAGATAATGTGCACCTGGCATCTTCTGCCAACTCCCTGCAGAGACCAGTGGGAAGAGAGGAGACACATAGTAGCATCATCTCTCAGTCTTTAAGACAATACTACTGTGCAGCCTGGAGTGGCCTTCAATTTTTGATCCTTCTGCCTCAGCTTCCTGAGGGCTAGGATTACAAGCAGGCACCACCATGCTTGGCCTGCCGTTAATCTTGACAAGCAGGCCTTTTCTTTCCTTCATTTTGAGACAGGGTCTCACGTATCCTAAGCAAGGAAAGACAGGCAAGAATGACCTTGAAGTCCTGGTCCTCCTGCTCCTTCCATCCCAACCTACCTGCTTTATACAGTTCTAAAGCTCAACCTAGCTGAGCTACACCTCTAGTCTGGGTTCTTATCTCTCTACCACAGAGAACAAGATCTTTCTAGGATCCCAACCCACCCAGAATAGGAGACCTGATCCACCTTCTTGGCCAAAGCCTTTGCCTTCCCTCCAGATCTGGTTCCCGGTGTTTAGACTGCCACCAAGGTTTGTCCTCTGACAGCTTTCTCTTTAGCCATCTCTCCGGTTCCCTTATCCATTTGCACGGTCTTGACAGTTGCTCCAATTCCACACAAGCCTGCTCCCCTGCCTCCCATCAGTCCCGGGAGCCCAGCACACCCTCTCATCTGCCTCTTATCAGCAGGCATCTTTCAGTTGCACTTCTGAAGCTGGTGAACTAAGGTAAGGTATTATTTGCCTTTGAAGCCTGGCTAGGATCCTTCTCCAGCACAGCGGAGGTGCCACATATGCACTTTTAAACTTAAAAAGCAAAACAAAACAACACCTTGTCCTTTCTGTGAACTCTGTCCTATTTAACTCTCGATTTTCAAGTCTTCCAGGGAATACTGTGCCCTGTATTCTCCCCCACCCACACTTTAATCCTAGTTGAAGGCACTGCGTCCTCATCCAGCCTCGAAAAGTAGGTGTAGCTTAGGGAGGTGTCCAATCATAGCAGACTCCTAAGGATGATCTCTTAATTACCAAGTGCGCGGAATGACTCACAAAGGTCTAGCCTAGTCCCTCCCTCTGGCTGCTTTACTCGGCCGATTCTGTTTACTAAACAGGACCTCCTCTTAGACTCAAAGGAGACAGTACAGTTAGCGCCTAGCTCAGACTCTCACTGTTCTGTGTCCTCCGCTCAGTGAAGGGGTTAGTGTCCATTCAAGTGTCAGGAGCAGACACTTTTGTCTTTCCACACCCCACGTCACCAGTCACCAAATACCTGGACTGTCTTTCTAACATGTCTGTTTATTTATATTTTACGTGGGTTCTCACCATGCAGCTAGCGTTGGTCTTGAATTCAGATCTCCCTGCCTGAGTCTGCTGGGATTACAGGCGTATGCCACTATACCCGGCTACCTGGTATGTACTGATCCCATGTTCTCTTTATTCCCATCCCCACCATGACAAACCGGTCCCTGAGAGCTTATGACTGGGTCTCTCGGTTTCACCCTGCCTCTCAGTGACTTCTCGTGGTCTCTATGGTGAAAGGACAGCTTCTTCAAGTGGGTTAGGTAATTATAGGGGCTCTCTGTCAAATTCGGTTAAGGGCAGAGTGGATCCTGGACCCAGATTTCCTGGATTCAAGCTTTGTAAACCTTTTTACTAGTTGATAACCCTCACCACTTAACCCCTTGGAGCCTCATTTTCTCTTTAGGATATCTTCAGTCAACCCTCACAATAAGCATATGCAAGCTGCAACTATTCTCCGCTTCCAGGTACATGCGGCCTTCTGTTAGACTATCCTACTTGGTGCTGTCTGCTCAGAGCACTCTTTGCCAAGTGGCCACCTAAATCTAAATTTTAAGTCTTGCTGGCTCCTTATTACCTCTGGGAACCTCCTCTGACCTGCATAATATAGCTTAAGAGTGCCGACTTGTCAGGCACAGTGGCGCAGGCCTACACTCCAAGTACTAGGGTGCACAGGCAAGAGGGTATGATGCCAGACGGGGCTATATAGTCAGCCACTTCTTGGCGTAAGATTGAAGAGGGGTGGGCTGAGGCTAAAGGTGTTCTCAGTGGTAGAACTCTTCGAACATGCAAGGGGGTGGGATTCTATTCCTGGAGAAGGACGCATAAACAGAAGGTAAAAGTGCACTTAGCAATCCCTGAATTCTGTGCACAGCCTTTAACATCTCTGGGGTCAGTTTTCTCCTCTGTAAAATGAAAAAACAAGTGTCTTGCTCACAGGTCACTGTACTGATCTGAGCTCTGTCGCTTCTAGAGATGGGTCTGGGCCCAGAACCCACTTATGTGGCGAGCCCTACACACCTCAGCTATTCGTTCACTGCTATGTATGGTGCTGTGCGGACTTCCAGAGGCCTTAGCTTTCAGAACAAACGCTCCCTAAAGGTCCCTGAAGGATCTCACCTGGGTGCACTCTTTAGCCACTTTCTTGTTCCCGTTCTACCGTCCAACTTAAAGGAGGAACTCTCTGACTCCCGCAACACACTGGGAAACGGTTTGTCTCAGTGGATGCCCCCTCCCCCAGCTCCTCACTCTTGTGCTTGCCAGGGCGCAGGGAGCCCAGGTTAGCCCGCCCCCTCGCTCCTCCCCCATGCCCCACGGTCCCGGGCAGGCGCTCTGCACCGCACCGCTGCACCCAATCCCCTCAGGGCTCTCAGCCCCCACCCCACCATGGTGGCTGACCGGTCTTGGAGCTGCAGATCGGGTCGCTCTCGCGGCTCCTCGTAAAAACTGATGCCCGGGTGCGTGGCTAGGGCCCGCCACAGAAACTCTTGCGTGTACGGTTCCAGCGGCAGCGGGAAGGGAGGCGAGCGGGACTCCAGGCGACTCCACAGCGCGGGCAGACATAGGCCGTCGAGCCCCTCCAGGGCCACCTCGTCCAACAACGACTCGAGTGCGTCCATGGCCGCTTCAGTTAGCAGTACCCTGGGCGCCTGCGCACCTCGCCGCCGAGGTCCGGGCCCAGAGCGCCTGCGCACAGCGACCGGCGGGCTGGGGAAGGAGGACCAGACGCTCAGAGCAGAGGGGAAGTCCCAGCGCTCCGTAATGATGTCACGATACGAGGGGGGGGGCGGGCTCAATGACGGAGCTATTTCTCCATTGGTCCGGAACCTCGTAGTAACCAGGGGAACTGCAAACACTGTCAGGGCTGCTTCCGGTTTGGGCTCCCGGAACCGCCGCCTCTAGGGATGGACGGTTAGTGTCCGTGGGCCCCGCCGGGAGGTCGGGCGGCTATCCCCTCATCCCTCGGAGGCGTCTCGGGGCGAAATGCCAGGCCGCAGGGCCCCCGGCCCAAGATGGTGTTTGGTGGTGCGGGATGGGGACCATGACTGGGGAGTGATCCTGTAGGCAGCCCGCTCAGACCAAGGGAGTGGAGACTGGGAAGAGATTGGTGCTGGGGAGGTTTGAGGTGGATAGCGGGGGTCCCGGGATGGGCAATGGACAAGTGGTAATTGTTTGGAGGTAAGCGTGCCTCCTGGGAGTAAGTTTGTCAGCTACTGGCATCAGGAGTGGAGAGAAACGGTTGGGAATACTTTATGTGCTTTGGTGTTGTTGGCAGCTCATGTTAACTGAGTACTTAATATTCGGAGCTAGGGCCTTTGTAATTACCGACACGGACGCACGTTTCACAGCGTTCTTTTGGGGGTAGTTATTCGTTTTGCAGACAAGGGAACTGAGGCCAGGAGGACAAGCAACGTGCCTGCTCCAAGTCAAGCGGCTAATAAGCAACATGAGGACTGTGTCTGAAGTAGACTTGTTGGAGTTTGAAACTGGAAGAGGTTTTTAGAAGCCTTTTGTTCCGGGGCTTGCCAGTGTACACGGCTACAGGGGCCACTTTGGTGGACTGTGACAGAAAACCTGTTTCCGATCTGTACAGAAGCGGCTGCTCAGATCTAGTCAGATGTCTTCAGGAGCAAGTCTCAAACTATGCCGGCCAGTCAGCTTTAAGGCCAGAGACAGACTGGTTAGAATCAGTATGGGTGCTCACAAGCCACCTGGGAATAGCTATTGTGATATTCAGCTTTCCAGATGGGAACACTGATATCTGGGGAGACTGGAATGGTCTATACTAACATGCTGTTTCACAGTGCATTACTGCCTCTTCTGGGGAATTTGCGTTTCTTTGATAGCCAATGGATGCAGCATGGAAAGACGTTCTACTATTGGATGTATTATATGTGCCTAAAAGATGACTTTGCCCTTTGTACGTGAGGCACTATAAAAAATGTGTTTTAGGGGGCTGGAGAGATAGCTCAGAGTTTAAAAGCACTGGCTATTCTTCCAGAGGACCCAGGTTCAATTCCCAGCACCAACATAGCAGCTCATAACTGTTGCTCCAGTCTCAGCTGATCTGACACCTTTGCACAGATATGCACGCAAGTAAAACACTAGTGCACAGCCAGGAGGTGGTAGCGCACGCCTTTAATCCCAGCACTCGTGAGGCAGAGGCAGGTGGATCTTTGTGAGTTCAAGACCAGCCTGGTCTACAAGAGCTAGTTCCAGGACAGGCTCCAAAACCACAGAGAAACCCTGTCTCGAAAAAGCAAAAACAAACAAACAAACAAAAAAACAAAAAAACACTAGTGCACATGAAACAAAAATAAATATTTTTTTAAAAATGTGTGTATAGCTGGGCAGTGTTGTTACACACCTTTAATCCCAGCACTTGGGTGACACAGACAGGTACATCTCTTAGTATAAGGTCAGCCAGATCTACAAAGCTAGTTCCAACCTGGTGGTAGTGGCGCAGGCCTTTAATTCCAGCACTTGGGAGGCAGAGGCAGGCAGATCTCTGTGAATTCGAGGCCAGCCTGGTATACAAAGTGAGTTTCAGGACAGCTGGAAGTATTTCACAGAGAAACCCTGTCTCGAAAAGCAAAATAAAAAAAGAAAGAAAGAGAAAAAAGTTCCAGCAAAACAAAAAGACCTTGCTTGCATGTATTACATCTGTGATGTTGCCATATAAATACAAAATTTCAAAACATCAGTTCACTTAGAATTTACATCAAACCCTAAGTGGTGGTATGTACCTTTCTCCCAGTACTCAGGAGATCACTGAGTTCCAGGGTGGCCTAGTCCACAAGGTGAGCTCCAGGTCAGCCAAAGCTACATAGTGAGATGCTGTCTCAAAACAAAAAACAGTAGACTTTTACTCCTCAGCTTTGATTTTTTTTTCCCCAAACAGTAAAAGAATTGTATTGCTTTACATTTCCTCTGCCCCTCTCTTTGTCTCTCTTGTTTTGCTTGGTTTTGAGACTTGGGAGGCTGAGTCAAGGTCATGACTTGCTAATTTGACCTATATAGTGAGACTGTCTCAGAGAGCCAAAAGGAGGCAACTAAACTCTTACTTCTGCTTTAGAATCCTAACTTCTACCAATATTTATGCTGTTGAATTGCTAATGAATATGAACAGATCACCACACATGCCCGTAAGTGGATGAGGAAATGAATATCTTTACCTTTTCAGATAACTGTGGACACTTTGGCACTACATCAAAACTTAGCAAGTGACAGTTTCTAAAAGGTCAATTACAATGTGGTTTGTGAACCTGGGATTCATATAGTAAAATTCCATTGGTCTGTCTTGCCCTTTGATCTGTGGGCTATTTTCTCCATATCCAATTTTATAGCTTCAGCTATTGGTCATTTGGAAATAGCTGACTAAGTAACATGCAAATCCTCCAAAATGGTGACATTAGAAATTACCCAGTATCAAAAAAAATCATATTAAAAGCTGAACATGGTGTTTCAGGCTGGAGAGATGGCTCAGCGGTTAAGAACATTGGCTGCTCTTCCAGAAGACTCAGGTTCAATTCCCAGCACATACAAGGCAGCTTATAACTGTAACTCCAGTTCCAGGAGATTTGACCCTCCCACAGATATACATGTAAGCAAAATACCAATCACTGCTCACAAGGTAAAAATTGACTAAATTATTTAAAAAAGGAAAGTGGTGTTTCACACCTGTAATCCTACCGCTTGTGAGCCTGAGACAGGAAAAGCCCAGGTCTGAGGCCATCCTGGTTTACAGAGAAAACTGTCTCAGAAAGGCAAGGAAAACAACTCAGATTATTACCCTTGTCATCATCTCTGTTTTGTAAGAAAGGGATTAAGTCCTGGAAACTGCAGAAGTGGCGGAAGCTCCTTGCCACTTGCTTTCCCTTGAAAACCTGATTTTATCTCTGACAACAAATATTGTCAGTTGTTTCCCTGGTGACAGGCTCGCTTCATTTGTGTCTGAGAAAATATCTGTCAGGTCCCCAAATATGAAGAGCCATAATTAGTGTCTTGTTTGTACAAGTTCATATTATAAAAGTGATATTCTATACAAGACACTGTTAGCTCATCTGGCAGCCCCCATCATCTCCAGTGTTTCTGGGAAGAACTACTGTTCTTAACTTGTAGCAGAATTATTGCATGCATACTTCCCATTTCCTCACCTGGAATATTAAAATGATACATATGGACCGAGGCTTAGAATTACTGTTTTACCCAGCTGGTAAAGAATACAACAGCTGTCTATTCTAAGGCTAGAAGCATTTTTGCCCATTTGTGTTTTGCCTCATTCAGAACGCAACCCAGGGGAAGTTGTAGGATTACAGTGGAAATCGCTTTGCCTTAGCAGGCCCCTCTGTTGCCCAGGATCTGTGGATACACTTGGAGACACATTGTTGCAAGGCATTCTGAGAAGTGACTTGGTCACTTCTGCTCTGTCAGCACCTCTGCACTCCTAGAACATGATTATAGCCGCAGAGGAATCTACGTTTTTTGAGCTAGGCTATATACTCTAGGAAGGTATTTACCATAAGATTTAGTTTTAACCTTCAGAAAATCCTATTTTACATTCTAAATTTTAATTAGTTTAAATGTGTGAGGGCCTGTGCCCTAGCATGCTTGTGGAGGCCACCATGTGGATCAGGATCTAACTCAAGCCAGTAGACTTGGTGGCAGGTGCCTTAACCAGCTGAGCCATCTCACTGGTCCCTCCATCCTAATTTTTTTAAACTTTGATTTATGCACTACTTTTCTTTTGATTTTTGAGACACTCACAATGTAGACGAGATTGCTTTCAAACATAGAGAGATCAGCCAGACGGCAGGGGCGCACACCTTTAATCCCAGCACTTGGAAGGCAGAGGCAGGCGAATCTCTGTGAGTTTGAGGACAGCCTGGCCTACAAGAGATCTTGCCTTAGCTAGGCAGTGGTGGTAGCGGACAACTTTAATCCCTGCACTTGGGTCTACTGAGCTAGTTCCAGGACTGCTAGAGCTGTTACACAGAGAAACGTTATCTCGGAAAAAAAAAAAAAATTCAAAAACAAACAGAGAAAGAGATCATGCCTTTCTCTCCCCCCTGGGTGCTGGGATTAAAGGTGTGTGCTACTGTGCCTGGCACTTTTGCACCCAATCGTTACAGACACGTGTCTGATCTGTGGTTGAACATGAACAGCACACTGTAAGTGAATTGTGATTTTAGTCAACTAAGTAACCAGTGACCTTAGAAAAACATTTGCTTCCTAAACTCATAGTTTAAATGTCTAGCAAGTCTCCTCAAGCTGGGCTGTGCTTTGTTCTGCAGTTTGCTGTGCCTGCTTTTCTCTGGCCCGTTGGTTTGACTGAGGCTATTCCATCTCTGTGTTGTATTTTGTGTGATGCTCCAAATTTGGTCTAAGTAACCCTGGATTGTCATCTCAGCTGTGCCTTCCCTGAGCCTGCCTTCCTGTCCATGAGATGGAAATGAAATATGTCTAGGCCAGCTGTGGTGGTGGTGCATACTATAATCCCAGCACTTGGGAGGCTGAGACAAGAAGATTGTGAGTTCAGGAGCAGCTTATGTCCATAGAACCCCTGTCTCAATAAGGAAAATAGAAGAAAGTATTCGTAGTGATAGTTGATGGTATTGGTGCCAGCAGATGGACAGACTTCTTGCAAGCTGCTGCTGAAAAGAAGAGGCATTCTCTATTCCCGTTTCCCTTTCTTCTTCTCTCCCCAAGACTGGGTCTCTTGTAGCCC